GTAACAACTACACCAAATAGAAAATAAATAGCACCATTAAATTTCTTGTAAAAACTGGTTATTATGAAGTTATTTTAAAGTTTGTAAGTTCAACCGTTTGGTTTCCTATAGCGAACAAATAAACAAACTTCCTTTTATATCTATATATAGATATATAGAATGGTTTTAAAATTTCATTATGAGCTAAAAGCGATAAAATCAAAACTAGCATTTTTATTTTCTGTAACTTTAGTAATCTAATTTAGAAAAAATTATTAATGACATGCTGTACATTGGCAAAACCTAACCTATAACCTACTTTCCTGGAGTTGATGGTCGTATATATATATTTATAGAATGGTATTGTTTTTTTTGTTTTTGTTTTTTTCTCTCATAGTCCTTGCGACCATTGAGCCGATGGCAGATCTTGCTCTGCCATCGTTTCTAAAGCTGTTTCTTACGTCAAGGATGCAACCCACTTGACAGCCTTCCCTCTTTGAAAGGACAAGCATGTTTGGTGGGACGGGGATTCGAACCCGCGACCCTCAGATTGCGAGTCGAGCGCCCTAACCACCTGGCCATGCCGGACTAGAATGGTATTGTTACGACAGTGGAAGTCACGTGACGCTGGTGACACGTGATGAATTTTTCGAATGATCTGGGAGGCCCGAGTGTATTCGAGACGCCCCCTTCGTTGGTATATAAGCCTGGCAGAGAAGCCAGCAATAGACAAATGATTAAAGAAGGGAATAGTGGTGGCGATAAATAAAGTGTGTGAATCACTGTGATTTATAGTGTGTATTATAAAAGTTGTTAAGTTAAAGTAACGAGAAACGTACTGACTGTGAAATTACTGTGTACTAAAAGTTTGAATCGAGGAAGAATAAACTGGTTTAATCAGAAAGGACTTGTATCGCTGAAGTTCCTCGGAAAGAATTTCTACCGGAAATTATCAAACAAGCAGATACTTAACAGTATTAAAATTCCATATGTGCTAAAAACATTAAAATCAAAACCAACATTTTTATTTCCTGTAATTTTATAAATCTGATTTTTCAAATAAGTTTTCTTTGTTAATTTTTCATATAAAAACGTATATATCTAACGGAATCACCAGAAACTGTCCATTTATTTGAAAGTAATAACATGCTGTGTTTTATATACGTTTCTTTAATTGTATGTTATACTATGATTGAAGAAACATATAGTGAAACGGCCCCTTTTATTAACCAAAATCAATAAGGAGGTGCGTTCTTATGGTGATATATGTGTGTGACACTGTCAGGTTATTGTAGAGTGGGAGTGTCTTAGAAAAAAAATTCAAATATTCCTTGAAAGTTGAAGTTTTCAGCTTTTTTACGGATATTATCACTGAGATCATCAGTAAAATGGTTAGTTGTAAAATACCTTTTTTTTTCTGTGAATTTGTTGACGCTTTGATAAGTTTGAAGTTTTGTGTTATTGAGTATTATGGACTATAGTCAGTACAATATTAATATAAATTATAATATAATATGTATAAATAACTATAGTAATTAGTATGATATTTGGATTAAAGCAGCTTATAAGTTATAGTTATACTGTTACTTATAGCACTATAAGCTGCTTTAGCTGTAATATCATGCTGGGTACTCCTTTGTTTTATATAATTGAAATAATACAAAACTACTTGGCCATATATTTGAGTTATAAGCTACTTTTGCTTATTATAAAAATATAGTACTAAAACTAGTAGTGATACAATATTACTAGTAGTAATAAAAATTATATGCAATAACTAATATAGTATTGCAAGTGGTACTTTGAAATAATTCAAATGAATAATAGTTAAGTCTTAATCATTATTACCTAACAGATTACTGTTACTTTATTAATACTGAGTATGTTCTAACTTCTAAATTTACCACACAATTCTGACACTGAATGAGTAGGTGATAACTATGCATAAGTTTAAGCTTAATCAGCAAAACTCATTATTTCAGGTTGTACTCAACTAGTGCAAACTGAAATAATGAGTTTTGATGAATAAGCTTAAACTTATTCATAGTTATGTTTTATAATCCTAATGATATATAGATTGAGTGCAATATAACTATGAGATTGCAGTGTTGCATGCTACACCTGTACCTTACATTCTTGGTCTGACAGAATTGTTGAAATTTATATTGGTGCTGGGAATTTACTTGTATATTAATGTATTAATTACACATTAAAAGTTTGCATGCATTACAATGTGAAACTTATAATAATTGCTGCAAAATAACTTGCAACCAAATGAGATATATCAACAGAGTAAGGAATATTAAAGTTAATATTTTCTATTTAAAGGTACAATTATAAATATTAAAATATCAAAAATTATTACATACAAGTTAACAAAACTGTAATAGGAAGTGCTAAGTATTTTTGCAAGGAATCAGCATAATTTTTAAGTACTTTCTTTGTTAAACCATGATATATCTTCTTTCTCGTGTAACTTTTAGGCTAGCATAACTTTAATATTGACTTAATACAAAAGCTAAATTAACCAAAGGGTAGAGTCCATGGTGTCAAAAGGCCACAGTGATGGTTTTTATTTATTTTAAATTGCAAACGTCTTTCTCATTTCTGAATTAACCAAAGTTAGTATTGTTTTTAATAGTCTTTTCTTTTTTACATATTAAGTTAGAAACAGTTAAAAGCATTGTATCTGGTAAAATTTTGGTTTGATGAATAAAATTTGAATGCAAAAAATAAAATAAAATAAGGGCTTATGGAGAAAATGGGGTCTACAGAACTTTACTTACTTAAGGGCAAGTTTTAATTGTGTTTTTTTTGTTGTTGTTGTTGTTATTATTGTTTCTTCACATAAAATTTATCAAATTTGAGTATATTTTCATATTCTAGATTTTAAATATTCTGGTTTTTATTTTAAGTTATTGAAATTTACTTTCCAGAAAATGTTTTGACCTGGACAAACCTACTGGTAGTAGTATATCTTTGCTTATTGTGGATCTCAAACTGAATAATTAATACAACCTGAAATTTAAGGACAAAAATGCACCTGTTGGTACATCTAAACTATTCCATATACTAATCTATTAAGAAAACTCAAAGCCAGCCCTTATCATTCAAATAGTTATCAAGTCTTCCCTTAACTTCCAATAGATTTACTGCTTCCACTACATCTGAAGGGAACCCATTCCAAAGGCTAACAACCGTGTTAAAAAATAAAACTACCTTAGCTGTAGATGATTCCTACCCTGCCAAAATTTATATTTGTGTACCCTAGACCTACAACTATTGTTTCTCAAATGTATTGTATTTTATTCTATTCTGTCAGATAACATTAAAACTAACTCATCAATTTTTACTGAATATAATTTTATTTGTAAACAGCAATAGATACTCAGATAACCATAGCTTATTGAAATAATTCACATCAACAAACCTTATAATACAGATTATTCCATTGAATCTACTACCCTCATTCACAATAATGTTAATGTTTACAAGTAAAATTATATTCAATTAGATCAATTTTGTTACCATACAGTAATAGTACAAAATACTCTTAACAAACATTCAGCAACGAGTTACCTAGTTCACCATGTCACTGTGTGATCAAATGAAGGCTTATAATTTTAATCTAATTAATTATATCAAATGAAGTGTTATGCTTTTTATGAATCTTACAAGTAATAAAAAAAACATTTTGTGAATGTAAAATGATGTAAGGATGCCAGTACCAAAAAGAATGCAGACTAGAATATAGGAATGATACAGCTATACATAGATCATCCTTACATGACTTTCAATATTAACATTTAATGTTACACTGTAAAATGCATATTTTACTTTAACATTATTGCAGTTGGAAGTTATATATTTCTGACTGTTGGTATGCAGCTTGTTTATTATAATATCATGGTCATGTCAGGGTAGGCATGAATGTAGTGTAACTAGGAAAACTAAGTATTGATTATTACAGACTCTTGCTATGAGGTTGGTCAAATTTACTGACCTCTTAACCATTTTGTACTTGTGCATTTTACAGTGTAACATAAAAAGTTATTATTCAAAGTCATGTATTGATGATCCATGTACACCTGTATGATCCCTATATTCTTGTTTGTGTTCTTTTTGGCACTGCCATCCCTACATCATTTTACATTTACAAAATGTTTTTTATTACTTTTTTTGTGACATTTTTTTCCTCTGACTGAAAGAGTATTTTATGAATGTGTATGATAAAATTTATTATGTGTATTGATACATAATATTGGGGTTGACTCCCTAAAGACAGATTGTATAGTGTATATGTATTGAGTATTTTACATGTTACAACCATCTAATGCTCATCTATTATTGGCTGGTAATTCCTGTTTCACCCTGAACTTAACCCATTTACTGTGGCTGGGATGCACTAGGAAATATACCTTCCAGATGCAGTGAAAATTGTGATTTAAAAAAAAAAATACTCCTAGTTATTATGACTAAGCGATGACTGCCCAGAAACACACAGAGTGGATTTAGATTTAAACTGATGTTAGTGATAAAGTAGTTGTAGAGCTATCTCAACTGAAACAAGAAGAAGAAAGATAAACAGTTTGGTGGGTTGGTAACTTTCTGGTTTGGTGTCTTAACAGTTGTTTCTTGCCTTGTTTTTGTGCTTGTTGGGTAGAGAAACAAATGAAAGTGAGTGTAAACCATCTTTTAAAGTAAAACTCTCTATCATTGTTGATTTTTTAGTGTGCATATTTGTATTATGTCTATTGAGTACCTTGGCCATCCCTATATATATATATAGAATCTACCACCTCTGTGATATTCATAACCCATTGACACACACGCAGCAAATTTATTAATGTTTCACATATGAGATTGAAAGTGCTGGATAGTTTCAATTACTTACAAATTGATTATTTTAGATACGTTTCATACTCATCCAGAACAGAGCTGGTAAGACACGCCTTGCCAAATGGTATATGAATTTTGATGATGATGAAAAGCAGAAACTGATAGAAGAAGTTCATGCAGTTGTCACTGTTCGAGATGCTAAACATACAAATTTTGTAGAGGTGAGAATTAACTGGAGAGGAAAAGTTTTTTTTTTTATATTCTAAAAGAAGTTTTTAGTGGAAACCATTAAATTTAAGTTTTGTCAAGTATGGCAATGTATACATAACTAAAAAGAGCTCTGTTCTTGTATTTGTTTATTAAAGTTTTGTAGTTTGTTCTCTCTCTCTCTCTACTTTTTCTTTCATTTTAGTAACTTCGCTAATCACAGTAAAACAGAAAAAAAATAAGTGTAATTGTAGAATATAATGATCATTAGCTTCTCAGTAATGAAAATCTGTTTAAAAAAATGTTTTAAATCAAAGTGTGATCTTAGTGACTGTTATTGGGCCTAGATATCACTTATAATATGTTCTGAACCTGTCTATGTTAATTAGTGTTCAAAAGGTTTCAAGTATTTACTCAAATACATAAGGATTCACTTTTAAATTTTGTATCGAAATATATTGGAAATTTAATAAAAGACATGTATATATATATATATATATATGTATTTATTTATGTTTATGAATGATAGCTATTCAGGTAAGATTTCTTTTGTTTATGTACAGTTCCGTAACTTCAAGATAGTGTACAGAAGATATGCTGGTCTTTATTTTTGTATCTGTGTGGATATCAGTGACAACAACTTAGCTTACCTTGAAGCCATTCACAATTTTGTTGAGGTGCTCAATGAATATTTCCATAATGTTTGTGAATTAGATCTGGTTTTCAACTTCTACAAGGTAAAAAAATTTGGGTCTTTCATTCATGTACAGATATGACATTATTTTATTTCTCTTGGTTAATGTTTGTGCAATAAGTACATTGAATTTATGCACCATTCATGGTGATTTGATTCACATAAATCTTACAAATTTGTTGTGAACATTTCTGACATTTTATCAATTGCATACTCATTCAAGTTATAGTATTGATATTAGTTTGGTTACAAAATGTGCACATATCAATCACATTGACACTTATATTTAAAATAATTCCAGTTTTTGTTAGACACTTCAGTGAAAACAATGTAACACTCCAGGATTCTAAAACAAATTCACTCACTTTAGCTAAATAATTAATCAATGACTAGATTTACAGACCAACTAAAAGTTTCAATGCTAAAAGAAATTTGTATAATTCTAGATATCTTGACCAATTGACCACCTTTATTACCAGAACATTCCAACCAATCCTTATGGGGATGGAACCACCCATTTTCCAGATATTTCTTATTTCTTGAATGTGCCTCATTTTTATAACCACTCACAGTTAACATCCCCTCTCTCTCTCCCTAATATGTGAGAAACCCAAAAAACGATCAGGAAATTTCTGAAATAAACAGGAGTTACAAATTACTACAACTTTGAAATTTTTTCTCTTATACACACTAAGCTTATAGCAAATTCCATAAACCCTATCTAAGAACAAAATATCAAGGCTGCAGTGAACTCACTTAAAGTATTAAATAGTAACTTCCAAGTATCCTGTAGGATGGCCTCAGATATTTTATGCTTTTGACCATGTTAACTGGTAAAAGAACAGTGAAAAGTAGATTGAATTATGAATTTTTGAGGGAATATAACTAACAGTAACTTGCATTCCATTATGAATTATTTTTAACTGAAAAAATTTAAGGTACTTATTTTCTATAGCCTGTACACAACGTGGTCACCAGTAAATAGACACCACCTTTTCAGAAAAAATGAAATTTTTCAGTCATATTCACATGAATTGATATATTTATAATTTAATTAATATCTAGTAGATTTTCCTTT